TCCCTCCTAAAGTCCTTAGATCCATTATTATTGACATCCCAAATCCTAAACCAAAGCTCTGAACCGAGCCGAAGCCCTAAACCCATTTCGGCAATGTTAGGGTTATATTGGGGTTATTTTGGGATAATGGAAAAGAAAATGGAAACTACTACATGTAGGGTTTCTATATATGTATATATACATATATATATATATATGTATAGTTCAAATCCTCAGCCCTAAATCCTTAGCCCTAAACCCTAAGCCCTATAGTCTCTAAACCCTATTAGCAGAGACTTGGCCAGCCAAGCTCCCTGCCAGCGGGGCCATTCGACGGTTCGAGTTCCACTGCTCGAGCAGCTCCACTAGCCTGCATGAAACCCTGAACCCTAAACCCTATATGGGGGGGAATATAGGGATTCAAGGAACTTAATCTAAGTTACTATATTATCCCCCTAGAATGGAGAACTAAGTGTTCATTGGAAGGCGGGGTATAGCTGGGGGTACATAAGGATTTATGGGGGATCGGGTCTCAAAGAATTTATATATATATATTGGTGTGTAGATGTAGGGCCATATCGGGACAGATGAAATATGACAACCCGTGCATCTCGAATGCAGGGGCACCCATAACATCCATCGGTGTCTAGTCCTCCTGGGGACCTGTTAGAACATTTCCAAGCGCCATGAGCCTTGCTGCAGGGTCTTTACTATGAAGCTCCGGTTGTCTTGGGACATATGAGAGATACAGTGCATGGAAGCTAGGGCCTCATTGCTGTTGCTGTGAGAGGTAGGAGCCTACAAGCACAACTACCTAGGCTTCAAAACCTGAACCAAAAAGTTATGACTCTTCAAACCCTCTTTAAGGTTGAACTGTCCAGAAGCTTACGGAAATCTGCAGGAAGTGTAGAGTGATGCAGGACCCTGAATAAATTGCCACCTCCATTCCCAGGCAACAGTCAGATCAGGGCATAATGTACACCAGAGACTTTATGGGTCCTTATGCTAATAGCCCCTGCTCACTGCAAGAATGTAGTAGCTCCGTCTTCTCGAGTAACATCGGGACCCTACTGGCGCAAGGTTCCTTCCGTCAATAACCTCCTCCCCCTAATATTAAAAAGCCCCACCCTCCCCCCTAATGTTAAATACTGCCATTCTGTGGTATATTACAATATATTGGAAGTATTTAGTATTAGGGAGGGCGGGGGGGGGTGATGATTATTAGGGGGGAGGGGATTCATGGGATTTGTACTGGCCAGGGTGGGTCCGTCGTAACGGCTACACTGGCATCCCTACCCTGAGGCAAACTAACATGGAAGCCCGAACAGCCCCTTTCAGATAATCTAGGGGCCTAAATCATCAGCCACATCATGGTCCTAGGTTTCTTGAATGCCTAAAATAGACCTCAAAAGGATGCAATTTCAATAGGGCCATGTTTGAACATAATCCAAAATTTAAAACTATGTATATTTATATATCTGTATGTTTCTATCTAAATACTGCACATAAAGCTTGTCATGCCTAATTATAGCTCCTTTCAAGGGACACTTTGCGTCGATCGCGGAAGTTGGAAACCCCCAAACCGAAAATCGGAAACCCCCAAACCGAAAATCAGAACCCCAAATCCTAAAGCATAACGCCGTATCGCCAAGTCCTCAGCTTGACACTCCGAATGCCTTGACCCCGAGACCCCAAATTCAAAAAACTAAATCCCAAACCCCAAACCCTGAACCCCAAATCCTAGACCGTCAACCCACATCGCAGATCCCATACACCCCAAATCCTACTTGCTAAGCATGTCCGGTCCACTGCTCCAGAAGCGGGTCACTCAGAGACAGCACCTGGCTGCACTTGAGACTCAGGCTCTGCAGGTTTAGGGACTTAGGATTTAGGGCTTGGGTTTTAGGGTGTATGAGTTTGACGGGTTTAGGGTGTGTTCATGGGTTTTAGGGGTGTAGCGGTAGCAGGTTCAAGGGGAGTTTTAAGCTTTCGGGTCTAGTGGGGTGAGAGTATTTTCGAATTTGGCAGAGGTGGGACCCCAGGAAAACTTCGACATAAGGATTGAGAACAGCGGTCCGCCTCATGTAGCCCCAGAATACCAGGATCATCGTTATTCAGGGGATGCGAGACGCTCTGGTGCGACCGGGCTTGGTGCACCCTAGTGAGGCTATACAAATGAAGGCTCAATGCGTTGCAGAAAGACGATTTGTCGGTCTCCCTGTTGAAGGACAGCGTTTTCTTCGCCTTGGGCTGCGTACTCGGTCTGCAAAGGCTGCATGGGGGTTTAGGTCAAGGGTTTCGAGTCAAGTTTAGGGTGGAAACCCTGCCCAGGACCCTGCCAAGGGTAGTAATTACACAAAGTCGCAGGGGCTTCTGAGAACCTGGGCTTTGCTCCCCATCTTTTCAGGATTGCGAGAGCGTAGCTCTACTTATCGGAAAATCGGAACCCTGCATGTATGTCTTAAATCCCCCCTGGTTCTCGACCACTGAACCTCTGCGAGCTTCCAAAGATTAGAGTCAGAAGCACACCGCACGGAACCGCTGTTTGGAGAAAAACGCTGCAACCTGAACCCCAAAGCTAAAGTCTCCAAACGTATGAACGCGGGGGGCAAACATACTTCAGCTGTGGAAAGCACCCATCTTCGAAGATCTATGTCACTGCCCGGAGCGTCTGGGAGCGCCTCGCACAGGAGGGGCCGGTGGGTGCAAGGTTGATGCCTCTACGGGCGCTTCCGAGAAGGGGCTTAAGGTTTAGGGTTTGGGGTTTAGGGTTCTGTGTAAGCACTGAAATTTCAATGGAGCATTGAGGGCTAATTTGTTCTTGCTGGGCCCATATCAATTTTGCTTGATGACCTGGGGATTAGGAGTTGAGAGGGTCAGCCGGTCAAACTCAAAGAGCCCTCAAAGACAAGCTTGTATCCACATTGGGCTTGTCGGGAATGTTGTATGCGGGGGCTTGCTGGGTCCTTGCCTACTTCCTTGTAGGTGGGCCCATTCAAGGGATGAAGGGATACTCGGAACATAGGGACTACGGAATGCTTGTTGCGGTAATGCAGGAGTGCGGAGATAAAGCTATAACTATGGCACATACCCAGATACTGGTATTGGAGAAGCATACTGGCAACTCCAGTCCACCCCGACCCCCCGACCCCACCGCTGTGCGAACTGGTCTCAATCTTAGGAGATTGCTTTGGGGTTCCGTCTTGGCTATAGCCTTTTGATAAACAGGCGATCCCCAACCCCTAACTTTGGGAACCACACGAACCATCGGAAAAACGGTCTGGGTTCCACACAACTGCAGCATTGCTCTCATCCTGGACTCATGCGGAGGAGGGCTTGGGCTTGGGATTTCTCCCAAGTTGCCGGGATGACAAACAGATTTTGCTCACCTCGACACCCCAAATTGGGACTCTATTCCATTGACATGACCGTTATTGCGGCTTCCTAGTTTGGAGGATTGAGATCACCAAGATCCTCTTGTAGCTGGAGGCCTCAGGGAGCCTTGAAAGAAGCAGACAATGACAAATATTGAGATCGATGCGAACTCAAGCTAGCATACCAGGTCGATCAAAGTGGCTGTAGAATACGAATTTGGTTGACAGGCAGGTTGTCGGCAAGATTCTGCCTGACTTACATGGCAGAGTAGATGAGCCCTATAGGCCTATCCCATCGGGTGCCCACCCGGGAACGCTGAGAGGGAAAGCGCTCAGAAGCCCCATATGGTAGTTCCAGAAAGCAGGGATGCTTTCCACGGGCCCTATATCGCAAGGATCACAATAGTTTAAGGTTTCCATGGGGACCCCCCCTCGGAAAATACCCCTGCTCGGAGCCTACGTAGGCGTGGCCCTTTCTGGCATGGAAAGATGGATGTCGAGCACATCAGCTACAGTATAGTCTAAACTCCTAGTATCCCCCTTAATGAGCCCTATAGTAGTCCCTTATATCTTCCCCATATAGCCCCCTTTAAGGAGTTTAGACTATAACTCGCATGAGCCTTGCAAACCTGTACAGCAAGGTTAGCTCTGAAAGAGGTCTGACAACAGAATCAGCTGCCGCATTATCTTCGGGGATGTGACCGGACAGGAGTACAAGCTTTAGTAGTAGCATTGGTTGGGAAGGTGTATATGTATATACATACACACGAATACCTACTTACTACATATACATAATTAATACAGCAAGTGGTGTAAAAGAATTGAGAGACCACAACTGCCAACTTCTAAGGCTCTCGTATGACTTCGCTCACAGGTCCAGCTCAACCAGCTGTTCCGCCAGTTGCAGAGCGAAATCTCGTCCATGGATCCCGTTTTCTAGCGACTCCGCCCAGCCACTGCACCATTTGTCACCATGCAGTGCACCGACAATCGCGCCCACCATTGAGGCAGTTGTGTCCGTGTCACCACCCAGATCAATAGCTGCCTGAATTGCTCGTCGAGGATCCTTGTAGTGACGACAAACCAGCCAAAAGACACACGGTGCCATGTGGACACTTGCGATTTGAAAGTCGAGACCACTGCCTGGCCTCTTGTGCTTGCTTAGGATTGGCCCCAAGATACGGTGGTCATCCACATCGTCCATGTTTGCAAAGCGCACGGCACGCGCAATGGAGACCATCACATCCTGCATGTCACCAGATAGGCATAGACCTCTGAGATCTGCCACCAGCTGGTCCGCACTGAAGGTTTCTACATCGTGCGACAGAGCATACTGTACAGCTCTAGCTTGAAGCATGGCGAAGTCCGCAGCCTCCACGTGGCGGTGAGTGCCAAGGAGTGCTTGCTCCACGGCCTCCCGCAGCGGCTGGCAGCCTGAGTTCCGATAGGCAAGGCCCAATGGCGAGATGCGCATGGCACCCCCATTGGCGAAGGAGCCTCCCTCAAAACGAAAGTATGGAGGCAGGCCCGTGCGTTCGACTGGCACACCTTCTAAGCACGCAGCGTTCACCTGCTTTGCTGTGGGTGGAGACCCGCGGAAATGTTCGTTGTCACGGAAGAACTCGGCACAAGTCCGCGCGACATGCGCCGCATCAACCTTACCGCAGGCAACCACTGAAAATGCGACTGCCAAGCAGGCGCAAGTGTCGTCCGTGTACATCCCCAGGCGGCCGCACTGCTGGATGACCTCCTTGGGTAGGCCGGTGCCAGGAGGCAGAAATGCCATGTCATTTACGCCCCGAGCTTCGCGGAAGGGACCTTTCAAGGTACCACTGTCCGAGACGTAGGTGCCCATGTGCACTGCTCGGACGAAGTCCTGGACCAGCGGTGTCTGCCACTCCCCTTGCGCAAACCTTCGGACAAGTTCGCGGCTGAGGCCTTCGACAGCTGCGCCTAAGGCATCACCTACCATGATCCCCAGCATGCAGCCCCTTGCTCGGGACAAAAGAGCGTCGCCTGCAAGCGCCATGGCTGTTGACGGTACCTACTCTCTGTACTCTGTGGCGCTGCTGCAGCCTGTTCTGAGCCACTTGCCAGACCTTGGCACGAGGATGCACTCGCTTAGGTGTGCACCCTCTTGAATTGAAAGAGTAGTCGGTACAGTAGGGGTCCCTTTGACATATCATAGGGGACCCCAGTTATCGCAAACGCCCATTCTAGTTAGCAGCAAGCCTGCAAGATGGCGACTCACATTGTTGTGCCTGACTAGTGTGAGGCACAAAGATCCTGCGGTTGCCAGGCAGGTTTGACTATTTTCCTAAACAGGGTTTTCGCATGATAAGGATCTCCCTAAAAGGGGGCATGCTCCAATTACCTTATAGCCACATTTGGTGGCGGCGAGGCGGCGCTTTGCCGAGCACGCAACATCATGTTTCGACCTCTATGCTGCTGTGAAGGAACTTTCGTTCCCATGATATGGATGTACAGGAAAATAATCGGCTTCAAAACATGGATAACTTATAATGTAAGTTTCTTAACACAGCAACCCAGAGATTGGTGTGTGGCGACCAGGCTTCGGGATACATTGAAAATATTGGGATAGAGCAAGAAAGAAGACTCAATAATTGGGAACATGTTGACCTCTCAAGAATTCTAAGCCCCAATCCGTAGACCCTATGGACCCATGAAAATCGCATGCTCACGCTCTTGACGCGTCCTTCTTGGCCGCCTCGGTACCCTTCTTTCCCTTGGCCTTGCCGCGCTTTTTCCGGCCTCGGTACAGGGTCTAGGGCTGTAGGGCTAAAGGATTTAGGGCTTAGTGTCAAGTGCTTACTGATTTTGGGAGTTCTTGAAGGCCGAAGTGCGCAGGGTTTAGGGAGGACGCCTGAAGGCACGCGCAAGGTATAGTGGATCCAAGTTGTTCCAAAAAGGGCAGTTGGGTGTCCTCGGTTGTGACTCCGTTCCGCAAGGATGCGTTCTTTGACAATCGGCTCCCCCTCTCCATGACCCCCCTTTTCTTCTCAAGAGCTCATCCTAAAATGAGACCTTCACACACTACTGGATAACATCAAGCATCGAGTGGATGAGGGAATTCAATATGAGGGGATTAAACCCATGAGCAGGTAGTTTCCACAAATAGCTGGACCCCAATTTAGAATCCTTATCGTTAGGACGCCCGAAATGGTGCCGAAACACCAAACCCGATGACGCCCTATATAACACTGTACAGCCCCATAAATCCCTAGAACCCCCTTGAATTCAAAAGTACCACCAATTTTGGGAAACCCCC